AGTCAACAGAAAACAAGAAGTCAACAGAAACAAGAAGTCAACAGAAACAAGAAGTCAACAGAAACAAGAAGTCAACAGAAACAAGAAGTCAACAGAAACAAAAAGTCAACAGAAACAAGAAGTCAACAGAAACAAGAAGTCAACAGAAACAAAAAGTCAACAGTAACAAGAAGTCAACAGAAACAAGAAGTCAACAGAAAACATGAAATCGATAGAAAACAAGAAGTCAACAGAAACAAGAAGTCAACAGAAAACATGAAATCGATAGAAAATAACAAATCAACAGAAAACATGAAATCGATAGAAAACAAGAAGTCAACACAAACAAGAAGTCAACAGAAACAAGAAGTCAACAGAAAATATGAAATCGATAGAAAACAAGAAGTCAACAGAAACAAGAAGTCAACAGAAAACATGAAATCGATAGAAAACAAGAAGTCAACAGAAACAAGAAGTCAACAGAAAACATGAAATCGATAGAAAAACAAGAAGTCAACAGAAACAAGAAGTCAACAGAAAACATTAAATCAACACAAACAAGAAGTCAACAGAAAACATGAAATCAACACAAACAAGAAGTCAACACAAACAAGAAGTCAACAGAAAACATGAAATCAACACAAACAAGAAGTCAGCAGAAACAAGAAGTCAACAGAAACAAGAAGTCAACACAAACAAGAAGTCAACAGAAACAAGAAGTCAACAGAAAACAAGAAGTCAACAGAAACAAGAAGTCAACAGAAACAAGAAGTCAACAGAAACAAGAAGTCAACAGAAACAAAAAGTCAACAGAAAACAAGAAGTCAACAGAAACAAAAAGTCAACAGAAAACAAGAAGTGAACAGAAAACATGAAATCAACAGAAACAAAAAGTCAACAGAAACAAGAAGTCAGCACAAAACAAGAAGTCAACAGAAATCAAGAAGTCAACTGTTGAGTTGAGTTGAGTCAAGAATTTACATCACAGCTCTCGGGACATTCCCATGCGTGCCCCGTCCTCATCTTCAGGAGCCAGCGCAAAGTTCTAATACTGATGGTACCGGTCACAATCTGGTTATATGTCCGTCTTGCATTTTCTCTGAGCCGGCCACTCGGGCGCCTCATTTTCTCTAAACCATAATAATCTTGTTTCTCTACTGATTCCGTTGCTTGTTCCCAAAGGGCCTTAACCACACCTTCACTGACATGTATCAATTCACCACACAGGGGTGCAGATCCAGCTAATCTGTCTGCCTGTTCATTACCCACTACGCCGGCATAGCCTTGAGAAGTCAACAGAAAGAAAACCAAATAAACAGAAAGGAACAAGCAACACAAACAACAAAATCAACAGAAAATAAGAAGATAACAGAAAAAAACAACAACTCAATCAACTGAAAACATGAAATGAACGGAAACAAAAAAATCAACAGAAAACAAGAAGTTAACAGAAAACAAGAAATAAACAAGAAACGAACAGGAAAAAAAACCGTAGAGGAAACCCGTGCTATACAAACACTACGGTTTTTTTTCCCCCCAGTTGTTTTGACAAATGCTTTCTCCTAGCAGGAACGCTGGAACTGGGTGAGCCCAACCCCCACCCCCCCGCCCCCCCCCCTTTTTTCCCACCTCAGACATTACATTTTAGAGAGCTAGGCCTCACCATAAATCCTGAAGAAGTTTTCTAGCTGGAAGTTTTTTTCAGGCTGGAAGTTTTCTAGCTGGAAGTTTTTTTCAGGCTGGAAGTTTTCTAGCTGGAAGTTTTTTTTCAGGCTGGAAGTTTTCTAGCTGAAGGTTTTCTAGCTAGAGGTTTTCTAGCTGGAAGTTTTCTAGCTGGAGGTTTTCTAGCTAGAAGTTTTCTAGCTGGAGGTTTTTTAGCTGGAAGTTTTCTAGCTGGAGGTTTTCTAGCTGGAAGTTTTCTAGCTAAAGGTTTTCTAGCTAGAGGTTTTCTAGCTGGAAGTTTTTTTCAGGCTGGAAGTTTTCTAGCTGAAGGTTTTCTAGCTGGAAGTTTTCTAGCTAAAGGTTTTCTAGCTAGAGGTTTTCTAGCTATAAGTTTTCTAGCTAAAGGTTTTCTAGCTGAAGGTTTTCTAGCTGGAGGTTTTCTAGCTGGAGGTTTTCTAGCTGAAGGTTTTCTAGCTGGAGGTTCTCTAGCTGGAAGTTTTCTAGCTAAAGGTTTTATAGCTTTAAGTTTTCTAGCTGAAGGTTTTCTAGCTGAAGGTTCTCTAGCTGGAAGTTTTCTAGTTGAAGGTTTTCTAGCTGGAAGTTTTCTAGCTGGAGGTTTTCTAGCTGGAGGTTCTCTAGCTGGAAGTTTTCTAGCTGGAGGTTTTCTAGCTAGAGGTTTTCTAGCTGAAGGTTCTCTAGCTGGAAGTTTTCTAGCTGGAAGTTTTCTAGCTGAAGGTTTTCTAGCTGGAGGTTTTCTAGCTGGAAGTTTTCTAGCTGAAGGTTTTCTAGCTGGAGGTTCTCTAGCTGGAAGTTTTCTAGCTGGAGGTTTTCTAGCTAGAGGTTTTCTAGCTGAAGGTTCTCTAGCTGGAAGTTTTCTAGCTGGAAGTTTTCTAGCTGAAGGTTTTCTAGCTGGAGGTTTTCTAGCTGGAAGTTTTCTAGCTGAAGGTTTTCTAGCTGGAGGTTCTCTAGCTGGAAGTTTCCTAGCTGAAGGTTCTCTAGCTGGAGGTTTTCTAGCTGAAGGTTCTCTAGCTGGAAGTTTTCTAGCTGAATGTTTTCTAGCTGGAGGTTCTCTAGCTGGAAGTTTTCTAGCTGAAGGTTCTTTAGCTGGAAGTTTTCCAGCTGAAGGTTCTCTAGCTCGAAGTTTTCTAGCTGAAGGTTTTCTAGCTGGAGGTTTTCTAGCTGGAAGTTTTCTAGCTGGAGGTTCTCTAGCTGGAAGTTTTCTAGCTGGAGGTTCTCTAGCTGGAAGTTTTCTAGCTGGAAGTTTTCTAGCTGGAGGTTCTCTAGCTGGAGGTTTTCTAGCTGAAGGTTCTCTAGCTGGAAGTTTTCTAGCTGGAGGTTTTCTAGCTAGAGGTTTTCTAGCTGAAGGTTCTCTAGCTGGAAGTTTTCTAGCTGGAAGTTTTCTAGCTGAAGGTTTTCTAGCTGGAGGTTTTCTAGCTGGAGGTTTTCTGTCTTGAGTATTTGATGATACATGCCCCATTTATGTCAGAGATATGATTACATTTACCATTCAGCGCATTATTGTTATCTTGGTTATTATTATTGACAATATATCCTCAACCAGCAAGCAACAAATCTACTAATTTACCAACCAACAATACACCAACAATCAACCAATCTCCCCCAAACAAACAATGGGCTCTTTGTCACCCCCTACCCTTTTTAAAAAAAAAAATATTCCCGCTTTAGAAAAACACGTGTAAGATGGTTGAGTTATTCCCCCCCCCACCCCGCCCCACCCCCCCCCACCTCCCCCACCCCCGCCCCCTTCATACAAAGTTTCACTTGTGTCTACGCCGTTGCCTACTTCTTGCTGTTTGGCAGTTTTGTTTCCTATTCTGTTTGGTAAAACACAACAACGGGCAGCCTTCAATGACATCGGTGTCTTGGTTTGGCCCAGCCAAACGCTCATAAACATCTGCTGCCGGATGGATATTGACTGCGCATGTCTGCCCCCGCCCACAGACACATAGAAGAGAGGACAACAGATATTACGAAAACAACTGTACTAATTTACGTAAGAAAATTGATGCAGCCAGTTGGCGCGGTTGTAAAATAATAACTGGGAACCGACTCCAGGCCTAGTGACACAGAGAAAACATCTGCGGTATGGCTGTGCCACCCCAACTCCCATTATTTTTAAAAGCGAGGGGTAGAAAGTGGGGGTAGTGGGGGGGGGGGGAGGGGGTTGAAGGAGAAAAAAAGGGGGGGGGGTGAATCTTGGTTAATTTGTGCATTGACTTTAATAATAACAATTATTGTTGTTATTGCATAATAAAACAAGGCCCTATACATTTATTGTGTAATCAAACAAGGCCTAGCCCTCCCCCACCCCCTTTCCACGTCCCTGTACATTTATTCTCATGCGGTTTTAGGTTTCTTAAATTGTCCAATAATAATGACAATCATATATACTACCACTGCTGCTGCTACTACTACTACTACTATGGGATGTTTGTTTGATGACTGTAGACTTTTTGAAATTAGTTATTTGCGCAACGAAATTACATTTGTTTATTACGCCATATTTCAAGCGCCATATAACCGTTAGTTTAGAGCATCCCTGCTATAGACCAGTGTTTTAGTAATTTATCTCACTTAAAATGGTGTCAACTATAGAAGAAAGAGTATTTTTGGTCAAACATGAGTTCCTTCAAGGTGGCAGGTATTAGATTGTTGATATTATTTCCTGATATTCAAGTGCCTCGTCCTAATACTGTGAACAATTTAACCAGTGGCGAACTGAGCTGTAAAGAGGAAAACAGTGTCCAAAATAAGACACATTGCATTAACTTCACAAACGTTTGTTACAAAAATAGGAACGGCAATATTTCCACAAAAAAGTCGTAAAAAATTATTATGATTATGATGATGATGATGATGATGATTAATTATTATTATTATTATTAATATTAGTATTATTATTATTATTATTAATATTAATATTATTATTATTATTATTAATATTATTATTATTATATTATTATTATTATTATTATTATTATTATTATTATGTCCAATGGCAAAGCAAAATAGCCCACAGGGTTTAGAATTCTATGAATAGTGTAAGGAGCTTCATTTGAAACTGCACGTACTGCATAGCGCGTAATTACGTTAGTGTAAGTTGACCAGGATCATGAATAAAAGAGCACGTTCTTGTCGTTTCATGGGGCATTATATCTTTTTCTGACCGCTGAAAAAACGATCATTTGGAATCAGTTGTAACTGTTTTATTACAAAAGCATGCAAGAAATATGAACAGTTGTGGCAGTATTCATCAAAGTATTCCTTCTAAATGATTTATGCACCATTGGCTAGTCAAAAGACATCGTCTTAGGCATTTAGGGCAAGCTTCCCATTGCTTAGGGGGCTGCCTGGTCTCGAGGCATGGCATCTGGTGCTGGAGGCATGGTTTCTGGTGCTGGAGGCATGGCATCTGGTGTTGGAGGCATGGCGTCTGGTGCTAGAGGCATGGTATCTGGTGTTGGAGGCATGGCGTCTGGTGCTGGAGGCATGGTGTCTGGTGCTGGAGGCATGGTGCCTGGTGTTGGAGGCATGGCATCTGGTGTTGGAGGCATGGCGTCTGGTGCTGGAGGCATGGTGTCTGGTGCTGGAGGCATGGTGCCTGGTGTTGGAGGCATGGCATCTGGTGCTGGAGGCATGGCATATGGTGTTGGAGGCATGGCGTCTGGTGCTGGAGGCATGGCATCTGGTGTTGGAGGCATGGCGTCTGGTGCTGGAGGCATGGCATCTGGTGTTGGAGGCATGGTGTCTGGTGCTGGAGGCATTGTATCTGGTGCTGGAGGCATGGTGTCTGGTGTTGGAGGCATGGTGCCTGGTGTTGGAGGCATGGTATCTGGTGCTGGAGGCATGGTGTCTGGTGTTTAAGGTATGGTGCCTGGTGTTGGAGGCATGGCATCTGATGTTGGAGGCATGGTGCCTGGTGTTGGAGGCATGGTGTCTGGTGCTGGAGGCATGGTATCTGGTGCTGGAGGCATGGTGTCTGGTGCTGGAGGCATGGCATCTGGTGCTTGAGGCATGGCGTCTGGTGCTGGAGGCATGGTGTCTGGTGCTGGAGGCATGGCATCTGGTGCTAGAGGCATGGCGTCTGGTGTTGGAGGCATAAGGTCTGGTGCTGGAGGCATGGTGTCTGGTCCTGGAGGCATGGTGTCTGGTGCTGGAGGCATGGCATCTGGTGCTGGAGGCATGGCATCTGGTGTTGGAGGCATGGCATCTGGTGTTGGAGGCATGGTGTCTGGTGCTGGAGACATGGCGTCTGGTGCTGGAGATGGCGTCTGGTGTTGGAGGCATGGCATCTGGTGCTGGCGGCATGGCATCTGGTGCTGGAGGCATGGCATCTGGTGTTGGAGGCATGGCATCTGGTGTTGGAGGCATGGTGTCTGGTGCTGGAGGCATGGTGTCTGGTGCTGGAAGCATGGCGTCTGGTGTTGGAGGCATGGTGTCTGGTGTTGGAGGCATGGTGTCTGGTGCTGGAGGCATGGCGTCTGGTGTTGGAGGCATGGTGTCTGGTGCTGGAGGCATGGTGCCTGGTGTTGGAGGCATGGTGTCTGGTGCTGGAGGCATGGCATCTGGTGCTGGAGGCATGGCATCTGGTGCTGGAGGCATGGCATCTGGTGCTGGAGGCATGGTGCCTGGTGTTGGAGGCATGGTGCCTGGTGTTGGAGGCATGGTGTCTGGTGCTGGAGGCATGGCATCTGGTGCTGGAGGCATGGCATCTGGTGCTGGAGGCATGGTGTCTGGTGCTGGAGGCATGGTGTCTGGTTCTGGAGGCATGGCATCTGGTGCTGGAGGCATGGCATCTGGTGTTGGAGGCATGGCATCTGGTGTTGGAGGCATGGTGTCTGGTGCTGAAGGCAGGGCGTCTGGTGCTGGAGATGGCGTCTGGTGTTGAAGGCATGGCATCTGGTGCTGGCGGCATGGCATCTGGTGCTGGAGGCATGGCATCTGGTGTTGGAGGCATGGCATCTGGTGCTGAAGGCATGGCATCTGGTGCTGGAGGCATGGCGTCTGGTGTTGGAGGCATGGCATCTGGTGCTGGAGGCATGGCATCTGGTGCTGGAGGCATGGCGTCTGGTGCTGGAGGCATGGTGTCTGGTGTTGGAGGCATGGCCCCTGGTGCTGGAGGTCCCGGGTTCAGGCCTCGGTGAAGGCTGGGAATTTTCCCCATGTATTCTAGTAATTTCCCCTGGTCTCTGGGTAGCAAGATCGGACGCCCGTTTGTATTATTGCGCACGTAAAAAAATCCGCTGGCAGTTGGAAATTGAAAAGAGGAGATTAACGACGCTGCCCGGGTAATCTTTGGAATTAAAAAATATACCCAAAATATTTTAGCATCCTCGCCGGTGTTCGTGCACCGAGCTGAGATTCTTCGGACTTCGAAATAAAACGGAGCACTTATGCATTACTACTCTCTTGCCATGACGTTGATAAAAAAAAAAAAGGATTGTTGATGCTGAGTGCCACGTCGAAATCAGTAATACCTACTGTAAACACACTGTCTAATATTGCTGTTTATTACAAACAGCCTTTTGACCTGTCCAGAATGAGAGATGGAATGCTTTCTCTAGCGAACATGTGCTCGGCAAAGTTTCACCGGTATTGCTGGATCCAGCCATGGAAGATCTGCCACGAACTCACGTTCGTTCTGAAATAGCCATACTCTGTGTCGCGAGCCCACGTGGGTAAATACACTCATATAGTGAGTGTCTGGGTTTGAACTCTCACAGTGCCCACCCACGTGAGAAAATGGACTATCTATCTAGGCTATGGTGATCCTACACGGTCATGGATAGCCAAGAAAACAGCGAGTGGCTCGTTCCATTAAATGAAAGTTGCTGTACTTGTATCCACAGGAGTAGGAGAAGGGATAGATGGGTATCAGGATAAACCTACTGTGATATTATCAAGATACACAGTTAACCCCTCCGACTTTCTCCTCTCCTGGCATTACTTAAAAGCCCCCATCAAGTGATTTAAATATTTGTTAGCTGAAGTAAACTAATATGCACAAAGACACTTGAACCTAAGTACACAATTTACTCAACTATTTTATAACAACATGAACAAGATTTATTGAATAAATCTAACCAAAATAAAATGAACGTGTTTAGGCTAGTAGAGTGAAGATGGTGTTATTGATGGAATTAATATAGTTAACTCCTAGTTGGAGAAAATAAACCTTGGACAGTTCTCGGTTTGAGACCCTGCCTATTCTTTTCCAGTTTGTCGTCCTCACTGCTTTCAAGCAGGTCGTTACACTCAGACGGTCGGCAAAGAATGGATGCCTACTAGTTTTTGCCCAATGTTGGAACTGTAGTAAAGAAACAAGCGCATATGTGTAGTATCTAATCTTGATGTACACTAAGCAAGTATGTTTTAATAACACCAAATATGCCTATTCTAAAAAAAAATTTCATCTCTCCCTCATTTTCACATTCACTCCTGTGCAGTTTGGAATAACTTATGTCTCACATTCCAGCCGTTACATTTTCTGCCTTCCTCCACTCACGTCCTGTAATGATAGTCAAGTCTTCTATGTCTAATGTCATCTCTCGTAAAGACTCAAAATGACAATCAGTTAGACAGAACAAGTTCTGGAATCCATGCTTGGATCAATGGACGCACCCAGAATGCGAACAAAATTTCTGGGGCGAATCAAGCAACAAATCTCAAGGATTTACTCTCCGGGATCAATCTCCGCATTAGCCTCCCGAGAGTTAAACACATTTCAGTGTGTTAGCTGTATGTAATACAGATTCAAATTAACCACACATGAAAAGACTGCCAAAGTTATCTTCACGCTTTATGATTTTAGACAAATGATAATTCATTATATTTCAATGGTAACATCAACATTTAAGTTATACAACATTGAAACACATGTGCACGAAAAAACATTCACGACACTATCAGTTACCATATAAAGCTATGTGTCAGTGCCCTAAGAGAATTGAGAAATGTCCGCTAAGGAGTACTACAAAGTGATGAAGACACACACTTGAGCAAAAAAGACAGTTAGATTTCTATCAAGAAATAAAGGTTTCAATGGTTAGTCATTATCACGTGACTAATGCATTATCATGTTCCACGCATGCGATTACGCTCGCTGCGAGACGATCTAGTTCCTAATAAACTCTCTTATATTTGTATCCTCTCTCGCTGTGGCTACGTAGATGCGAACGCTTCGTAATGCCGGGATGCCGGGTTCGATCCCAGCTGCGGGCCATGCGCCTTGCGTTGGTTTCGACAGTGGTATCAAGAAAGTCAACCGTCCAGAAAGCAATGGCAAACTACTGGACGTAAATTCGCGTAGAAAACCCACGCAACAGCCAGGGGCTTTTGGGGTTGGTTCTGCAACGTCCTGTAAAGGATACGCAACTAACTTCTCTCTCTCTCTATGGCAAACTACTGGTGTAATGGGGGATATTTTCACCCACATTAGGAAGGTTGGGGGGGGGGGGGGAGGCATAAGGTTAACCCAAAACACCGAGATATTCCAGATACTCGGATTATACGAGGTTTTCAAGATGGGTGATGTCACTTATAATTAGTTCTTTCTGTAATTTTTTTAAAACGGGTGTATGATTATTGTCACTTATAATCATTATAATTTTTGAAACTTTTTATAGGACCAATGTCGTTTGCTATCAGTACATTTAGACAGTTGAACAATTTTTTGGTAAACAGTGGATAGTTTCGTAAATTATTTAGTACATTTACTTGATTAATCTATAGGTAAAATGTATATCGGACGGGCACCCACTTGCAAAAAGCTAGGTTGTAATACCTCGTTGTCTAGAGGATGTTTATATGTGTGTCGTGAATGTTCTTATCACACATTCTACATTGACATAACTGGTACAAGCCGACACCGACTTAGCCGTACGAAACATCAGTTTATTGACGTGTTCAAACTTACAACAGCGTCTAGTCGTTGTCCTACGGAACAGCTTTCGCACACCACATCACGCAGACTTCAACAAGCAGGTTCCTCACGCAGTCACTAACCAGAGTCTGCACCGATGTATCTGGTTGATCTTCTGGACATTACACAGACTGGCCTAGCTGGTCTTAGCTTCAAACGTCGTCGTCTGGTTCTCCTTTCACAACAAGCAATCTCACGTTGACATTCTTACGCTCAGTCTCCCGTCCTTTCACTCCAACAGTTCAACACATACTAACTTGATCAGAATCGAGTCTACCTTATACCACGGGTTAGTTTCACATGGCAACACGTGGTGGTCCTTTACTACACCGTGGCGACCTGTGGTCGCGTCAACGTGTCTCACGTGATCCCTCGTGGTCATCACCTATCTTGAAAACCTCGTTTAATCTGAGTATCTGGAATATCTCGGTGTTTTGGGTTAACCTCAGGCCTTTCCCCCAACCTTCCTAATGTCGGTGAAAATATCCCCCATTACAACTTGACGTAAATTTGCCTAGAAAAACTACACAACAGCCAGGGGCTGTTAGGATTGGTTCTGTAAATAAAACGCAACTAACCTAACCTTTCTGTCTGTCTGTCTGTCTGTCTGTCTGTCTGTCTGTCTGTCTGTCTGTCTGTCTGTCTGTCTGTCTGTCTGTCTGTCTGTCTGTCTGTCTGTCTGTCTGTCTGCCTGTCTGTCTGTCTGTCTGTCTGTCTGTCTGTCTGTCTGTCTGTCTGTCTGTCTGTCTGTCTGTCTGTCTGTCTGTCTGTCTCTCTCTCTCTCTCTCTCTCTCTCTCTTTCTCTCTCCCTGGATGTATGTGTGTTTTTTTTTTTCTAGCTTACCCTCTTGAACTTATCTTATTCTTTATGTTTTAATTTTCTTTTATCTTTCCATGTGTGTCTTGTAACCCAACCCTCCCCCCCCC